CAAAAGCGTCGCTGTGGTCAGCTTTCCACGATTGGCCAAACCATGGGTATATGAGCACGGTCAGATTGTCAACTTTGACGGTGTTAGTTTCGGATTGCGATGACTCCTAGCTTCCACTGTGCTTTTTAAACACACCATCGGACTCGTAGTCGCACCCGATGGTAAGTAGCCAGAATAACAGCTGGTGACGTCACGGCGAGGCAAATCCCAGTTGTGACGTCACGGAGGGAAACCATAAGAGGGAGCCACCGAAACATCTCGGCGCTAATAGACCAACTCAACTCTCCGACGTCACGCCGATGCGGTGGTGCTGCTGTCGGCACTGCGCATGCGCAGATGCTTCGCCTCGGGCGAATCCAGTTTCTGCGCGCGCGCAGTGTCCTCACCCGGTGGGCAAACGCGGGGTTGTTTGTGAAGAGTATGTTGGGTCGATACTGCACTCACCATTAAGGTGAGACTAGAAGCTCCGCCTTCAGCGGGAGCTTTCTGCCCTTGCTAACATACGTGTGAACACGCAGGCACGCGCAACCTAAGCACTGCGGAAGCCAGCGAGCTCGCGCTGAAGGCGGAGCTTCTAGTCTCAGGAAGAAGGAAACAGCGCCAAAAGTGCGAAGGACAAAGAACGAGGAACACACAGACCGAGCGCTGACTGACAACTGGTTTATTTCTGGAAACCACCTACCGGGCATAAAAACACTGACAAACATACATCGCACCATCGCCTAAGGGCACCGTGTCACAACTCTCCAAAAATAATTTCCTTATCGAAGAGGGCAATCGAGGGAGCACTGAAGCACTCATCCTTATACTTCGAAATGTAATAGGCCTGGAATATTTCACGAGTCACCCGCTGACTGTGCCGAGCAACAATCGTCGTCTTATCCAAAAGGGGGGAGCACCCACATCTATCACAATGAATGGCCAAATTACCCGAAGGTGAAGATCTTATTGAAAATGCGTGTTCTCTGAGTCTATCATTGATACACCTCCCTGATTGGCCAAAGTACTCTCTCCCACAGGACAACTCAAGGGCAAAGTTTTGTGCAGAGCAATAAACGAAACTCGAACTACTTTCAATCTATCCGAGTCAACATTCAGCTCAACTGTACGTAAGGTAGCAGTAGCACAAGACTACCAAACCGCAACCTGTCTTTCAATTTAAAACGCGTTCCATTTCTCTTTTTGGGGAAGTGCTCGTGTGACCGGAAGGGAGGCGGGGTAAGGGGGGGGGGGGGGGGGAGGGGGGAGCCGCAGCTTGGCCACCCCCTGGTCTAGATTCTCTGCGTCAGTATAGGAGGCTTCCAGTGCAGCCACGTTCTAAAAAGGTTGGTGTCCACGAAAATCAAACAGTGAGCCGTAGACTTGCGAGTTAAAAAAACTGTTAAAAAAATCTTCGGCCTGTTTTTTTTTTTTTTTTTTTTTTATTCACTATGCATGCATACATTAGTCTCCTCATTTGTGGTTTTATTCTTCTTGAGTTCAGTGTCAGCAGGTACGATCGCATAGAAGATCGTAGAGGACGCGTCGTAAGGTGTTCGTAAGAATGCCAAATATTTAGGCTGGAAACCACTTCGTGGCTCTCAAAGTGGCTCACCACCGCGGTTTCATTGATTGTGTGCTACGAGGAATATCTATGTTTTGATCGTAAAATTAAACGAAAATGACGTAACAGACCAACAGAATCGCATGCACGCTGAAACCGTGGCCAAACAAATTGAAGCCACCCAATGGCGGCGAGTGCGTCAGCGGCCTCTCCACACCGATCACGTAACTACTGAGATGAAAAGGCCTTATTATAACATGGCCGTTTAAGTGCGGCAGCGAAGAGTACGTGAAACCTGCTCACAATCAGACGAGCACGTCGTCTCGGTGAATCCCAAGTCTAACAAATCCCCCCTTTTCCTCTCCCGGCTGCGCGCAACTATCTCAATGCTCTAAAACTATACACACGGCTGACGCACGACGATGTACGGCATCTCAGTATTGTAAATGCGACGGTTTATTTATTTATTATTTTTTCCTTACGAGCGTTAGTATCCCAAAGACCTTTGTTTGGCTTTATGTAACGTCTGTTTCGTAAGGGTTGTGAAATTCATTGCGCTGTAACACTTGTTGCCTCTGCTTCTTTTGTGCGAGTAGCGGCTTGCGGTGAAGTGCCCTTCCTTTGAACGCCCAGAATATTGTTGTCGCCGGAGTCGTCTCTTGTTGCTTCTCTTTTTGTTGACGTGGAACGGTGTCGGGTGATGAACATCACGCGGCGCATTTTTGTCCTTGCGCAAGCCGCGCTGGACTGCCTTTGCGTCACCGGGGGATATCAGCGTCCGCTGAGCAATTGCTCGCTCTCGTGTGTGCTCCGGCCGAGCAGAGACGAAGGTGAGGCTTTTTGCGAGAATCTCGCTGGCCTCGTGTAGTGGATGGATGCGTCGTCCGTCCAGCTCCCATGCCGCTAAGGGCAGGACGGAGCCTGCACTCAGGCGTGGGCTGTACCGTCGAACCTTAGAAACTTGGGATAAAATTGCGCTGCCTTTCTCCTATGGACGTTCCACGCCCTTGCACTGGGAAGGTTTAGAATGACGGAGCTGTATTTGATTCGAACCCATACGAAAAGTTGCTTGCGAACCTGGTTCGATCATTAGCTTCGACGGCTAGAGCATCATCGGCATCTGACAGTCTTAGCCGCCTCGGTGGCTCCGAGGCGAGAGCGCCGGCCTACAGATCCCCAGGTGGCGGTTTCGAATCCCGACCGAGGTGCCCGCAATATGACGGAGGCTTATTGCGGAGAAGGCGCCGTGTAACCGAGTTTTCGGTTGCACGTCAAAAGATCCCCAGGTGGTCGAAATTAATCCTCAGTCCTCCGCTGGGGCGTGCCAGGTGCCCATCGTAGGTTTGGCACGTAAAACCCCCAAATTTGATTTGATCTGACAGTCTTATCATCGCGGCTGTTCATATTTACTCTGGCCTGCCTTAGCTGACTCGTGCGTTGAAAAGACCCACACGGCTCTGTAGGAGCAATTTAACCGAGCATGACTCGTGAGTAAATAAGAAGCATGCAATAGTCAATGGAAGTTTCAACAACAGGAATAATGTCATTCTTTGGAAGCACATGCGAGGTCGTTAACGGCAATGATGCTTCCGTTACATCCCGTTATTTTAGGCTTTCTCATTAAATTGCATAGGAAATTATGATTAAAAAAAAAAAGAAAAGTGTGAAGCTTGATTAGGCTCTAACCCCCGTGTCAAAGCTCGCAAATCAATTGTGGTCGGTCCTACGAAGACGTAACGACGGTGGATGAACAATCCGAGCGGTGGTATCGCTGCCTCTTTTGCGCGTCGCTTGGCCGCGGGCCTTTGTTCTGCAAAACACACCACGAAAAAAAAAAAAAGAAAAGCTTCAGAAGGACAAAAAAAGGGCCCATCCGTTCGTGCCGTTCGAAGAAAGCTGAAACATCCCACACCTTGTTCGCGGTTGTTTTCCCCGATTTGTGTACCCACGTTACTGCAGAAAGCGACCAGCCATGAATCTCTGCGGTTCAGCTCGAACGCCCCAGACAGCTGGCGAGGAAGCGGGGGGCTCCCGACTTGGAGGTGCGCGCGCGGTGTCTGTGTCGGGACTCGTGGGGGGGACGTGCCCGCGAAGCTCGGACGGGCGTCGGCGGCGGAGGGACTTGGAGAGTCCTGTGCTGCGTGCAGTGAGACGGGAAGGACGGGCGCCTGCGGCCAAGTATCCCAGGCGTCCGAAGAGCGGGTCGCGCAGCTTCCGGGCAGTGGAGCAGCTTCTCGTTTGCGCCGCGGGCCGGGTCGATGGCGCGGCGGCGACGTCCAGCGTCTGGCGGCAGGGCCAATTAATCGGGTCTCTTTTCCCGCCGACCCCACCCAAGGGTTGTTTCAAGGTCGAATACCCGTCCTCCTCCTTTTTTTTTTGAGGCCGCCAGGAATGGGCGGATGGTCCCGCTCTATTGATCGCATCCATTGATGGAAGCCTGGATGTCGGGGTGGAAACGGGCACGAGCCCGGCTCTGCTTTTCGACATTAATGGTCGAGGGATCCATCCCCGCTTTTGCCCCCTCTCTCTCTCTCTCTCTGTAGCGACATTTCTTCTTCCTTCTCTTTTGTATGTGTGTCTGTGTGTGTGTGTGTGTGTGTGTGTGTGTGTGTGTGTGTGTGTGTGTGTGTGTGTGTGTGTGTGTGTGTGTGAAAGGGGGGGGGGGGGGGGGGGGCGCTTGTCTTCTGGGAATGTCGAAGGCCCCGGAGCACGGAAATGTCGCATAGGGGGTGCGCGTGATGTGCTTTCCTATCGCTTCCTTTCTTTTTCGGAGCGACGACATTTTATAACCGGAAATTCATTTCCCCGCAGTTAACAAATGGCGTAGTACCCGTTGCACGGTGTGTGTTCCCATTTATTCGTGCACTTTGTTCTGACATTTGTATGGAATATTTGTTGTTGTTCTTTACTTACGCGTGTGACCTCTCGAGTGAGCTATAGTTGCGTTAGAACGAAAGATACGAATGGCATTCTCCATGCTACTGAAAGTTATGGTGTTAATAGAATGTTTGACGTTGTTGCTCTGGAAGTTCAGGTATAATATGCGGGCTTCCCACAGACCGACGTGTGCGGAGTCCCTGCGCGTTTTGATAATGGGCTTACTGATTACAAATATTAAATGATAAATTCAGCGTGACTTTTTTCTCCTTTCGGCTAAAGTTCAGATGTTGATGTTCGAGGTCACAACGCGGCCTGACCGCGTTGTGACCTCTAACATCCACATCTGAACTCGAAAAGTCTCGCGAAACTTTCCAAAGACAGGTAGGCAGCCGGCCTGAACGTCTGGATGTCATTACTTTTCCCCCCGAATCATTTTCTCGGAGCATGCAGGTGGGAATTCCGCAACGAACGGGAGTCTCTCAAAACCCAGGGCCGTAGTCTTCGTTGCTCGGTTTTGTTCGTCGACTGTTGGACCTTTGAGCGTGTTTTGAACCAATTTTCTTTCTTTGCCTTACAGAATTACAACTGTTTCGTCGACCGGCTGGGCCTGTGGGACCGCGCCGCCAAGCCTATCGAGTACCTGTGTGACCGGCAGTTGGAATTCGTGGACTACGCCGAGCTCAGGATCTACCAGGTGAGGCATCGCGCTATGACCAGGCTGCGCTTTGACTCGTGAAGCCGAATCCGATGGAATAGTTTGTTGCTTTATTAGTGTACTTAAAGCCTCGACCTTTATGCCGTGGGAGTGTCCCGTGCGATGGTCAGGATCATAACCGTAGCCAAAACCTGACTCATGCTACACACGCGTGGAGCTCGGACTTGAGTTGATGTCGGGGAAGCTGGAAATGCCTTCGGGGTGTCCAAGTGGGCTCCGCTGCTTGGACATTCTTACGAGACTGGTCACTTCTCGGTGGACAGATTCCTCGTGCGGTAATTCTCGCTGTCGTACCACTTGACGCACCAGTTTCCATACGATGTCCGATCGGAGTGTGCCGCTTTACTGTGTGGGTCGACGACCTCAGTCGACGCCTTGCCCTGCTCACTCCCCAGGAAAGACGCAAGATGCGCAGTCTTCCAAGCTCTGTCTCCGTACGCTGACCCCTCGCTCCGACCCGCGCGTCCCACCTGCTTCCCTTTTTCTCGCCCCCTTTGTCCCTCAAACCGGACGCACCTCAAGACCGCTGGCGCCCGGAAGCCCGACCGTGCGGCCCGGCTTGGAACGATTATCAGTGACTAACGAGAGTGTTATGTTATCAGTTCCTATTACGGCTACCTCGAGACAGAACGAGCTCGAGATATGCCTTCGGCTGGGGTCCTGGCAACGTCTGATTGCAGCTACGTGCGTGAAACAGGTGTATTCGCCCGGTGCGAAAAGGAATCCCCGAGGACCACCATTCTTTCGCGCTTTGGTGCCACGTTTCGCCCTATCAGTCGAGTGCTGTTGGTCTTGGACGGCCAGAGAAACGCCGGACTGGCATTCGTATTTCTTTGGGCCGTTCTGGAACCTCTTGCCGCAAAGCGTTCGCTCACTCGACACGATATTACGATAAGCGGGAAATAGTACGTCTCGATGGCGTATTGAAAGAGACGCCTCTCTCTCCCGACGGAACGACCGTCTTTATCCGGAATGGGCGCGCGCGAGTCCTTCCAGGAAGTGAAGACGCATCGCGCTCGACTGCGGGGGTTGGCAGTGGCCTGCCATCGTCCTCCAAAGCTGGCTTCTTTCTTTCTTTTTTTTTTCTTTTTTTTTCCGTTTTGACGCGTCTTATCGAGGACGCTGTCTTTCTTGGAAAGCCAGCTTGTCGGAGAACAACTGATAGCCGGCAGATTCGTCACGACGAACACTTTGTCGTGAGGGATAGTTCTTGTGTTCGTCAACCCGCTCCCGAAACCTATCAACCTCCGTGTCCGATGCGGGTGTCGGGTTGTGGCGGGACGGCGGATCTTTCGAAAGTAAGATCAATTTTACAGAAAAAAAAAAAAAAAAAGAAGCTAGCAGCACGAATTTGATGAAATGCCGGAGGGAATCAGTAGGAAAGATCTATATCGTGTTACTGCGCAATTCTCTGGCTACGGCATTTTTTTTTTTTTTTGGGGGGTACGTACATACCGCTTTCTCGTGACACACTTATCCTTGGATATAGATCGACGTCACGTCGCCTGAGAAGGACACGTTCCTAATTTTCTGATGTGACAAAAACCTTTCAGGCATATAGTTTGAAGCCCCGAGACCCAACCCTACACATCTTTTTATTTTTATTTTTTTCTTTGTGTTTGAGCGTGAATGAAGTGTTAAAAGATTTTTGCGCACGTCCGTTTATCTGTTTGCCTTTTTTTTTTTTTTTCGGTGCTCCTGCTTCGTTGGTGGGCTTTCTGGGATTGTATCTCGGTTCGGCATGGAACTGCAAGTTTCAGCTCGGTTTCGGTCTCGTTTCGATCGCAGAGAAGAGCTAGGCAATCTCGAAGAGATAATGTTTGTGAGCACCTGCGTAGCTGGTTTCGGCCATTCACGCAACCTGCGAAAATATCAAATTCTGCTTTTTATTTCCACTGACGCCTGCACAGCTGTTCGCGGAGAACTGACGCGCTTGATCGAACTGGGGATGCTTAAATCGGGAACCTTTCTACCGTATCGTGAAATCGCGAACCTTGACAGAGTCGGAAAATCGTTATGCGCATTGACTGACACTCGCCGAGATCCGCCCAACTGCAGTGTTGCCGTTGCTTGTCTCGTCAGCACCTCCCCCTCCCTTCCCTTTTTCCGAGGAGGACCCAGGCCGAGTTTACGTGACGTACTTCCGGCACAAAGTCTCGATCGCCGGACGCCTCGTTTACCAACTTTCGCTCTATGTCTTTCTACGCGCGAAGGCAGCGTTTTCCAGCTCGCTCGAGTTAATTTGCGGTGTCGGATGTCATCTTCTATCCTGGCAGTGTTTTTCTTACGAGTCTAGTGGAATTGACTCGTGCCGTAGCAACCTAGGGGACGTTTGATAGTACCGCGGTCCTGGAACTGGTTCGCACGTTTCGGGGGTTGACCAGATTTGCTCATCTCGAAGATTTGTGACTGAGCATCGTGGAAATGGTACGGATGTACCGAAATACGGTGGTCGAATTGCTCGGACAAGGTTTCCGAAGGCGTTGTTTTCTAGCCACTCAATCTCGAACATATTTGGATACAAAACGTATTAGCCCCTCGGCCAGCTGGGCGCGCACGCTCCGTGGCTCCCCTGATCGCTGTTTCCTCCTTGCCTTCGTCGGATGTCCCGACTGCGAGCTGGGCATGAGAACAGCGCTCGATCGCGCACGGGGATCCGAGCCGAAGCTCAGCCGAAGCACGCCGAGAGCGCGGCCTTCGCGCCCACCACGACGTCGAAATCTGCGTGCACGTGGCCGCAGTCTCGGCGAGGAATGTTACCCGCCAACGTGCCGGGCTGCCGGAATCGCGGCTCTCCGGCGATCGTGGACGCTGCGGATCGATTGGGAGGCGTGGAGCTCGCACGCTGTCATCTCAGCCAGCTGATCGAAATGTGCCGCGGTCGGAGAGGTTCCGCGGAGGCTCCCCCCTCTGCCTTTGCGTCGCACTGATGGACGGCCGCGCGGAAGGGCTCGCGCGCCTCTCACGACCGCCGCATGGCTCAGCTGCGGTGCTCGTCGTCTCGGGGGTCGCTTTGCTCGCTCGGTCGCCCCTCGATTCCTGCTGGTGCCAGGTGTGGGCGGGACGACGTCTGCTCGCGTTGGCCGGCTGTAACTGAAGGCAAAGAGGCGCTTTCTTCTCCCTTTGTCTGAGCGTGGGGCGAACGGGCGGGCACGCGATGGTATCGCAGCTCCCCAGGCACTGTATACATTTCCAGTGGCAATTTTTTGCTCCTCAGCTATCACCGGGCGAACAATCTTTATAATGATGTCGTTAAAAAAAAAAAAAAAAAAAAAAAAAAAAAAAATATATATATATATATATATATATATATATATATATATATATATATATATATATATATATATTATATTATATTATATATATATATATATATATTATATATTAATAACTTCACAAAGCTTGAATTGCTCGAAAATGCCCCATGTTTCAACTTGTCATTTCACGAGCAATTCCTAAGAAAACAAGCGCACTAACGCAATTTCTGATTAGCGTTGTGGAAGGTAACTTATTTCAGCATTTATCTCCAAGGCCTTGTTTCCACGTATTTCCACAAACGCGGGGATAGCATGGACTACCCACTGGTTTCACCGATTTTCGTTTTCCTCGTTGTTTCGCTTTTTTATTATTTTTTATTTATGGGGAGGGGAAGGAGGCACGCATGGAAAGCCGCTCCTGTCAAAGATATTCTGAATTAAAACATGTTAAATCATCATGAACCAACTAGCTCAAAGTCCTAATCTTAATTCTTAATACAAGTCTTAATTCAGACATGTTCGCCTCTGATTGCTTTCCTTTCATGGGGAAGATATTTCGTTTTTTACTGAAGCGCGGCGTTTTGAAGCCGTAAAAACGGCCCGAAGACTTCAAACCCGAAGGTCGACAGAAACTACTGAAACATCAAAGGCTTAAGAATGTTTCGTCCTATCGTTCTTTTCTTCTTCTTTGTTTTTTTTTTTTTTTTTTTTCGGGAGTACGATAAGTAATTTGAACGAGATATTCGTAACATTTAACTGGAAGTATAATTACAAATTTTAAACACGGATCAGCTGATTATGCTATGTCTATTTTGCTATTTGAATCCCAAGATTCCCCTCGTATATTAATTTGTACACTGTTTTGCGGAGTTACAAGGAAAAATTGCTGTTATATCTTGAGCTATCCTTAGAGAGATTTTAGTTCGCAATCATTTCTACTACACGTCAATTGTGAGTTGGAAGCAGTCAGCAGCAGGATTCGGAAATTAGTGAAATATTATTTACCAACGCCCCCCCCCCCTCTCCCCCCCCCCCAAAAAAAAAAATAAATAAATAAAAGAAGCAACGACAACAAAACCGCAGCACGAAGAACAAGATGGTCAAACCAGAGCTTCCCCCCCCCTTTTTTTTTCATTCTTTTTGACCGCTGTTAATCTGTAACGGAAAGTTTATATATATATATATATATATATATATATATATATATATATATATATATATATATATATATATATATATATATATATATATATATATATATATAGAGAGAGAGAGAGAGAGAGAGAGAGAGAGAGAGAGAGAGAGAGAGAGAGAGAGAGAGGGGGGGGGGGGGGGTTTCAGGCAGTGTTTGTACGTGATTGCATTTTTTTTAATTGTGTTTAGGCGTCATGAAGCCATAAATAAAAAAAGAGAGGATAGTTAATGTCCTCCATGAGCGCTCGACGATGCTTTTATTGAGGCAAAAGAGCTTAGTTGAGAGCTCGCGACGACCGCGCCTGCCCAGTGGGCGCTCATGAAAAACGCCCGAGAGGAGGAGGAGTAGGAAATTTAGTTTTGCGTCTTCGAGTTCATGTCTGTTGTGACGTAACTTAGTTTTTATTCGTTAATTTATTTCTTTTTTTTTTTGTAAAACACGATTACTGTAAAATTTATTTGTCAATTCGTAAAAGGCCAGAGCTATATTCTTTACTTTTGTCCAGTCCTCCGGACATTATATGATTT